ACATTTATCGAACACAGATATTCCCTCGGGCTGCAAACATAAAAGTGAGAGGGTCGTCAAGATGCTTCATGTTGGCATGCTAAGGGAGCAGGCGGAAGCATAAGAAGCCTTGCAAAAGAAACGGGCCGGACGCCTAGGAAGGAAAGCCAGTACCTGCGCGAGACAAGTATTGGCCCTGTCTGTTGAGGCATTTGTCCCCCTGCGACGAAAGACTGTGCATGGCTGAGCGAGGCCGCGTTGTGAACGAGCTCCGCACGTATTGCTTGACGTCGACTCCAAGGTGAAACGGTTTCCCTTCAGGGCCTTGTTCAGGGGGACCAAACGTGGCGTTAATCGCAGAGAGAAAGAGAGAGAGAGGCCTGGCTGCTTTGTGACTGAGAAGCTCCCACTTGAAATTCTACTTCTCGGTCACCCTCCAAACAGTCCAGACCTCTCTCCCTGCGATTACGACATTTGGTCCCCAAAAAGGGACACTGAAGGGAATTGACGACGATCAGTACGTGCGGAACTTATGTCGCAGTGGGACAAGTGCCTCAACAGTCAGGGCCAATACTTGTCTCGCACAGGTACTGGCTTTAGTTCGTAGGCGCCCGGCCCGTTTCTTTTGCAAGGCTTCATATACATTTGGCAGTCGGGCACGACGGGAACAAACAATACGAAAACATGCAGCTGATTTGGGAACACGTTTCAACATGTTCTATCTATCTTCCTGTTATCTTGTAATACAAATTGTTTGCAAATATGATTCGACGGTAAAAAAATATGAATAGTAGAGAAAATTCAATCACCATGCGAGTATTTGTACAAGAAGTTTCCTTGAACTATTTGTTAGATTCAGTAGCTTAATCAATTATGTTAGTCATTTTGTTTCTAACTATTATTTTATTATGTTGTGATTGGACACAATTATTATAATAATCAGTTATTTCAAATAATTGTGAATTAGCATTTTAAAATACTATTGAGGTGGAATTTAGTTTGTAGTAGTATCATGAACGCTAGTTATTCAGTGACGAAATTGCACTCATTGTCACTGTCCAATATTTAAAAAGAAAATTGTTTCTTGTTTTAATCATTACCTATTCACGTTGTTTCGCCGTAAACAATGAGACTATAAATTATATTTTTAAAGCTTGACAAGTTGATCGAATATTCAGATTCAACAATGAACTGAAACACAACATTAAACAATTTCTTCTGAAAAGCTATGTGATTTGTCATTGTTTTAGAATATTTAGCACTCGCATTGCTCGTTTTGCTTCAAGGAAGGTATTTTCAAAACAGTTCTGATGTTACGCAGCTCTTCCTTTCAATATGAGCTGTAAACGCGATCCATTAGACTTATGAGGCCATATATATCCTAGTTCCACTGCCTTTTGAATATTTTTACAAATCCCTTATTTGTTCTCCCGTTTGGATTCCAGGAAGTCTTGTGCGTGTCATCCTTTTTATTATAGGAAGTGCATGACACGAATTTTCGCGTTCAGTTGGAAAATATCTGTAATGTGTGGGAATAGAGACTGCGATCGTGCATTGTTTTAGTAGATTTGACTACAATTCATCGTTTATCCGTAATTCCTTGCTAATAGCTGTGAGGTATTTATAACAATAAAACTTATGATTGCTCTGTTTATTAGTTAATATTGATCAAGTTTCGTGTTGCCGCTTGGGTTGGAGTTTGACGTCCAATTTTAATGACAAGGAAAAACATTAACATTCGTTTTTACCAAACTTTGAAAGCTTAAATAGTACACAGTCACGGCCATTTAATTAATTTGTAATTAAGCAGTGAAGCTAATTTGTAATTTAAAAAATATTTGATCAAAATATAGGTAATTTAAAATATATACTTTGTACTTAAATTATTAATTAATTTGCAATTAAACTATAGAAATAAAATTTCACTTTCCGGTTTGTATGCGCGAATGAAGTGCAGCATGAAAAAATAATATTCTTGGAGCGTGTTCAAGAATCGTCTCATAAACGATTTAATTTTGTGTATTAATGCCATTAATTCTGTATAATTAATGGCCCATTAGACGCACGATCTCAGTTGCCATTCCGTGAGCTTGCAGAGGGTTGCGGACTTCTTGAAGGTGGTTGAACTTCAACTGTGCGAACAGCGAATGTATATAATCAACTTTTTAGGAGACGATGCGGTATTCAAACCTGATATGTATTTTTGTACCGGAGACTAATTTTATTTTGTCTTTACGAAATATATTGGAAATATAATGAGATCTAACGTATTTAATTAATGTAACGTGAGTAATTTTTTCATGTTAGTAGTCAATAATAAAATTCCTTGAAAAAATAGTAAATGAGTGTTTATTGAATTATGATTTTGTAATGGAAATAAACGTAACTTCGTAAGAATACGTTTGAAATATCATTACGTATTTAATAAATGTAATTGTCATCCATTTATCTGAACTAGGTGTTATATTCTTCCTTCTTATGCTTTTAGGAGAATAACTGGTTGAATGCTAATGGTTAGAGTTCTATTCACACACGTATGTGTTGGCGATAATGCACGAGTTGTAATGGACTACTTTTTTAAAAGATCCAATATTGCTTTTTAGGTTTTCGAACGCAAAATTAATAAGATGAATTTTAGGTCGCTGAGTTTAAAATAGGTATGAGTTGTTTCCATCAACGTGTGTAGTGAGAATTTTTGAACTAATGGACATTTTCTTAGTTTTTGAGTGTTATCTTGACAATTGTGATTTTTTAATTTTTTATTCAGTATATTTTGTAAAGGTCATTGCCATAAGATCTGACAAATGCTGATCGGAACAACTCCTAACTTGTTTGCATTACGTGTAGAGCATTCGTTGCGAGGTCATTTGAAAGGAGCGTAGCGAAATTTGCGTGGTCAGACGATAGAACGAGCCCGATGGTCCGAGTCTCGCCACGTAAAATGAGGCATCAATTCAATTGAATTGAATCGTTTGATGCCGGATCGAACCACTGAGTGCCCTGTGCGAGTGCTCGAATCGTCATCGAGCATCGTGAACGCGAAGAATTGAGCTCTGTAATGCAACAAACTCTCGTTTAACGAAACTCTCGTTTTGCGATTTATTAAAGCCCACGTAATTAAATTTTTTACCAATAGTGTTTTCTGCCGTGACGCAGTCTCCATGAAGAAATTAAGAAAAAGAAAAACCAAGCCTTGTCCATAGTGCGCGCAGTGAAGTTCCACCGTCCTTAAGCCAAGGAAGAGGGCTGGTGACACACATCGCCGAAAAGGAAGAAAGTGAAAGAGAGACAACAGAGACAGTGGGAGGGCACAAGAGTGGACGCGTTGCGAGAAGGCTGGTACCTGTATCGATACTTGGCACATCGACTGTTTCTCATGATAGCTTTCAGTGTTGATTGTGCTAAACAGTGACGAAAATTTGTTTAAACATATTTGAATATGTATTGTAAAGCGTAATTAAATGGCATTGCCACTGCTCTGTCGATATCTAAAAACCCTGGCTACGGAAGACGTAGGCATGCGAAACAGTAAGTTCTGCAGACGGACGAGATCTATTGCCTGTGAACTCCCCCCTCCAAATTGGCAACTTTCAGAAATGAACATAATTCCTACGAAATATTACCGTAGGTTTGTGATAATTCGTTTATTTGTAGCCATGGATTAATTTTCATTGTATGTATATTTCAGTTTAAATGAATGAAATTTTCTTCGAGAATGGAAGTTAATTATAAAAAATACTGTTAAATGTAGTTTGTAAAAATAAATTAGAAACAAAGAAAAACTATTAAAAATGCACATTTGTACATCTTGAATTTTACATCACTGAAAATAATTTACTATTTTGGTGAACCTTTTGTCGCTGCCATTTGAGGTTGAAAGTATCTCGACTTCATCTTATCCGATATTAATACATCAATATCAATCGCTTTTGGAAATCATTAAAAGTGTGATCAAGCAAGTACGTTTTAATTTGAAGTTAAATACATCACATTGGCTTTCAATCACATGAAGCGCATACTTTTATTCAATGCATATCTTTGTATTGTTACATGTATTTTTTCCACTTGTCCTCTTGGACTACTTTTAAATTAATTAATATTGTGTTGAAATTGTGCTTTTTTGCTAAAGATTCCATAGGTTGTCTCCTATCCTTTCTTCGAACACTTCGTCTGAGTTCTACTTTCAGTTATGTTAAGAAGTACATTGTGATAATGGATCGTTTGACACACACATGGATGACGTAATTTTGAGATTTGTTTCTCGATCTCGCTGATGGTCACTGTTTGGCGAGGTGAGCTCATCAGCTAAGTGTATGTGCACCGTGACTCCTCTCACTCACAAAGGATTCATTTGTCGTGGCATGTTAAAACCAGCTTTCTCTTCAGTGGTTGACGTTACATGCGTGTCAAATGGTAAGATTTATCTGCCGAAATAAACTAAAGGTTAGAAATTGACAATTTTGGCGCTTTCGTTTATACAGTTTTGTCTGTCGTCGTATAACATAGTACTTAACGATCACACATGCGAGTGGACTGGAGAAACCTTTTGAGTAGTGAACTGTACGCCCACATGAAGTAATCCCGATATTAGTTATTTTTTGGTAACTTTCAGTTTGTTTCATTGTTTACAATTATGAATGTAAACCGTATGTTACCTTAACTATCGCTGAAAACATCAAGACAGGTTTCGCAAGATACGATGACACGACACACCTTTCTCTTGTGAGTGAGAGAAATCAACATGATGCAAAGACATCGCTGACGCACATACCTGGCTCCTCAAGAACCGTCATTTGAGATAGCCAGGCAAAACTGGAAACGCCATTCCCGTATCAAGTGATTTCCGAAAGCGCTCGATGTCGACGCGTGACTTCGATGGAGTATCGATACCTGGTACCGCATCGCAGCGTGGCCACTCGCGAGTGAGAGTGAAAGAGAAGAAAGTCGCAATGGACAACTCGCTTGGACTCCGCGGCGTCGGCCAGGCCCGGCACGGCTCGGCGAAGGCCCCGGGTGCGAGCTCAGGCGCTGGCGGCGGGCGCGGAGGGCAGCGGTCGGTCGGCGACGGTGGCGCCGCCGCCGGCGGCCGCGGCGCCCACCACGACCGCGGAGCTCTTGGTGGCGCCGTTGGTTTTCATGTTGGAATTGCGCCGCTCCGCGCCGTCTGCGCAGCCCCCGCCACACACCCCCCGCCTCGGTTGGAGACGCAGCGGCAACGCCGCACCGCCGCGCGCGCTTGCTCGCTTGGCAACGTCGCTGAGGTGGGTGGCGCTCTCCGCGCGAAGAGTGCGGGTTGGCAACGTCGCATCTCGCCACCGTTGCGAGAGGCGACGTTGCCGATCCCCGCGCCGAGAAGCGCGCGGGTCGTTTGGCAACGTCGTTGAGAAGGTTGGCGGTCTCCGCATGAAGAGTGCAGGTTGGCAACGTCGCATCTCGCCACCGCTGCGAGTGGTGACGTTGCGGATCCCCGGGGCGTGAACCACGCGGTTCGGTTTGCAACTACACTTCGCTAAAATAGTTGCCAATACTGCAATACTAACAGTTGGCCCGCACACAGAGTAGTCGTTGCGAAACTTGCTCGAGAAGGAGTTTAGTTTGCAACATAATGTCATTCATTTGACAACACTGTTCCTCGCTACGACGAGCACATAGTTGGCAACATTGCGTCCCGCTCCAAGAGTGATAAGCTGACTTAGTAGCACCCCGCTCGAGGAAAACTTAGTTGGCAACATTGCTCGTAGTCAAAGAGCGCGAATGTCTGGCAACTTTGCGTCTCCGATCCGAGGAGCGTTTAGCTGACATGGCGCCCACGGAGCGAGAACAAGTTTATTGGCAACACTGCACTCCGGCCGAAAGGACCAGTGTGAAGTGTGTGGCAGCGCTGCACCGTCGGCACACGGCGAGGCCTGTTGGTTGGCAAAGCCGCCCGCAGCGCGAGCAGCAGTTGGCGACAGTGGGTCCGTCATCAGGCGGCCGTTGGAGAGTTGAACGCGCAGATGGACGGTCGCAGTGGCGTGGTGTGGCGGAGGGCCTACAGGTCAGAGGGCAACGTCTTCTTGGACAACACGTGTTCTCCCGCCACCACCAAGGCCTTGTGGAAAGAAACGAGACACGTTGTGGGAAACCCCGTGGGGTTCGTTAAGAGCTGTGGTGCGGCTGCTACTCATTCACTGGTCCTCCGACAAAGCAGAAGTGCGCTCTTAAATTGTGTTTCTACGAGTACTTTAGTGATGTGTATGCATCTATCCTTTTGCCTAACTGTGTTTGTCGTGTTTCTTTTCTGAGGAGTTCATGGATGCAAAGAACAAAAACAAATTGCACACAAATTGCATTCATGTTCTTACATGCATCTTACTAGCGTACTTATTACTTAGCGTATTCATTATGTTCCTGTATTGTTCTGATATACTCATATATGCTGCAGTTTTTCGATAACTCGGGACATATTACATCAAAATCACGTTTCTACTCTGGAACTCACCCTTTGCGAGTTGTTCACCATCATTCACCGTTGACTGTATCGATCTCGACCACAGGCATTGACCGCACCGAACACGACACAGACATTTACCGCACCGATCAAGACCGACATTGCCCGCGCCGATCAGGACACACAGATTGACTGCACCGATCATGACGCAGATATTGACCGCACCGATCACGACGCAGATATTGATCGCATTGACGTAAAAGTTGAAAATACAATTTATTATCCATCTGCGAAATTATTTATTTTGAGACCACATTTGTTAAGATTGATCGGGCTGTGATTGTCGCAACGGGACTGTACCATATAAATAACATGACAGCAGCTCTGAAATATGACGCCCGAAAGTTAGAGGACATCTGATCACTTTAACATGACTTTTCAATTGGGGAAGTTATTGGAGAACGGTTAGAAAGCTAATTGCAGGAGACTACCGTCATGTTTCCCCCTAAGAAACGCACTTCATTTCATTGACGTTATATTTCAAAATTGATATAGAATCACCTCAGTTATAAACAACGCAAATGTTAAATCTCTGATTATATAATGTCTTCGTTTGGGCCCCATTCGTTGGATCTGTTTGGAATTTTCCGAATTATATTTCTTGACAGTTGAGGTAGGGTAAAACGATGTTGCCATTAATTTGGGCAGCAGACAGGTATTCGTTTGATCGTTCTGTTGTCAGATCACATCAAGAAGAAAATCGCAATAAGACCCCCACAGTAGACGACACAGAATCGCATACGCAGTACATAACCAAAGGAGTAATGGCGCTCTTCAATTTAAAGATGCTTCGCAGTTTACCGATTTAATTTTTGTTAATAAGTATCGGCAACTCTGCAATGACGTCAGCAAAATTTGAAGCCGCTGATTGGATTACGTACCCCCCCTCTCCGTTCCTCAGTCAGGCGCTGTCAAATCGACAAATATTATTCGAACTATAGGCACCTGAATTAATATGGTTATACTAGACTCGTTTCCCGCCTCTTAATTGCTTCAGTGAGCTACTTCTAGACTGAACTCTATACTTTCATTACTGACGAAATGAACTCGAACAATTATTTGTTTAGAAAAACCTCTGAATGTTTGCAGGCGATGTCTTGTCGTGGACGAAAAATAGACATTAAACTTGATGGGCCTTGAAAAGTGTAAAGAGCATACTCGTTGGAACTAGTAGAAAGTACTACAACGATTAATAATGATCTCCTCAGAATCAGAAACTGTTTGAGATTGATAGTGTTCCATTCTGTGTGCGCGTGTGTTTGCGTGTTAATATGAAGTCTATGTCTACGTGAATTTTATGTTAATTTCTACTTGTGAGTTTGTGTTAATATTTCTACGTGCCAGCTTGTATGCGTATCAATGTCTACGAAATTGCATTTTATTGTGTGTTTTTATGGCGTCTACAAGAAAGCATGTTTCTAGACTAGGCGATGTTACTAGCAATTAAGAATTTGTCGTCAAACCTTTATGCTCGAATAATTTCTAGGTTTGCCTGATGATGTAGCAAGTCACGTCAGATCCTCTTGTGTATTTGCCTGTACCTGCGTGCTTTTAAAATGGAGCAAATGTCCAGAACCTGTTGACCTCTGAAAAAGCCTAAGGGAAATAACTAGTTTAATTGCCATAATATTTCGGTAAAACATGAACTGGCTGGAACGAATACATTCTAATTAATCATACCTAACCGACCAATATTACTTCGATTTCGCTAAACTCCGCATCATTAAATATACAGAGAATATTGAGGACGCGTTATGCTCGGGGAATACTACGAAATCTGAATTACTTGTACGTTCTCCAACAATTAGAAAGAACTACTTTTAACACATGTTTTGTATCACATTTGTTGTAATGCACATAATACATTAATGAATATTGCATTGCTAGGCTTGAACAGATTGTTTGAGAATGTAAGCAATTGCTGTTGAGTTTTTCCTTGAAATTTAGTATTACAATTGAAAACTTCTTTTTTTCTTTTTTTTCTTTCAGAAAGATCGCAAAAATTTGAGTCAGTTTTATCGATTTCTTGCTGTCAGTCATTAACAAAGGGGAGGTAAATCTTCGGTCAGACACAAAAAAACAACAAAAAAATGGAAAATAACTTTTTAAAGAGGCAGTGTTGATGAACACATTTTTATTGAAACTGCAATTCAAATGTGTGCGCGATTTTCATATGTTCGCTGCTTAAGATTAATATTAGTCTCTCTATTGCACACAAAATTTAGGAGACCTCTTCTTGCAAACTCCTCCCACGGCTGGACAAAGCTGTAACGACCACAAAAGAGAACTTTAAATTTCTAATCCCTCTGTGCTGATGCTCTGTTTTTTGCTTTTACGCTTTGACTGTGGTGTCGACATTTCGAGCTGCGAAAGCAAAGTTCATGTGTGAGTAATGCGGCTGGGAGCAACACCTATCATTGAGAGGAGCATCGCAGCCAGCGCTATCTAGCGGGCGAAGAAAGGCTGAACGCGAAGTGGCTTGCTCTGACTTATCGACTGCTATTCTGAGAAGCCGCTTCGTCGTAATATTTAATGAGGCGTTTCCCTAATACTGCCGGTCGCTCGGCCTGCTGGAAAGGAATTGCTCGGAAAACGTTGATCCGCTCCTAACAAGTGCGGTACTTTGGAGATCTCAGAAACAAGGGAAAATTAGGATTATTTTGTCGATATAACGTATTTTTAAAGTTAGATCTTCAATGTTTTCTTGAAATTGAAGTTCATGTCCCACATGATTTTAAAAGACAGATTTTCAATTGGAAATTTGTCTTGCTCTGTGAAATTCATAGATGTTAAGACACTTTCAGTTAGGTTATCAATGTTAGGAAGGTTTAGCAGATTTGGATGCAATTACAAAAACATTCAAAGAATAGGGCTGAGGCTGGGAACTAATTTTATAACGTTCAGAATCAATAACAATATCACATTTCGAAAAGGAAATGATGGAGTAACGATTTGTTGAAATACAGATAGTAGTGCCAAATTATCCTATTTATGTGAACGTGTTTTGTCAGTGGCATGACGGGATTGAGAAACCAATGAAGCTTTACGATATCGGATCGGGCAAGAGTAGTTGGCCCTTTTGTATATTCAGGCCCAACCGCACTTTTCGTTGAATCACTCTTGACCTTTAAAGACTATATGAATGATTAGACCTTTGAAGATTTTTGTTATGAAATTGATTTTTGTTACGAAGGGAGGGTCAGAGTAAACAGTTAACTATTTTTGTATGTATATTTTTTAATAGCTCTAAAGAATTCCTTATTTGAAATTCGTGGTTGCATTTATTAACCTTACGATTACCAAGGGGTAGGGAACTCGGAGATTGTCAAAGTGTATGTATGTATGTATATTTATATATTATATATATATATATATATATATATATATATATATATATACACACGCGTTCATTTCATTTTTTATCAAACTGAAAGTCATTGATGTTTTAAGTTGTCGCGTTTTTGTTCAAAATATGATGCTATTTATCAGAACTACTTGTTTCAATTTGAGTTATTACAGTCTTTTTGATTGTGGATAAAAAAAATCAGGACTATTAACTAGAACACTTTGCACTGAGAATGTAATTGGGAAATGTTTGTGGAATTTTCAGTCTTAATATTATATAAGTCAACACATTACTACGTTATGGAGAAACATCAGCCTTTTTTTCACAT